CAAGGGTAGGTGGGGAGAGGAGAGTCGCTGCACCATAGCCGACGAAGGGTCCGGCGGCCTATTTTCGAATTAGCACCAAATCCAAAGAAACGCAGGAATAATTAACAAGACTCACCTCCATAATCCTCCATTGCCGGCTCTCATCCTTCATCGGTCCCGGCGAATATGCTTGCACACTCTTCATCCCGAAATGATCCAACGTACAGTCACTCTCCGCATTCGTCAACCCCCACAACCCCGTCTTAAACTTGCCGTCGGCGGGACTCCCCGCAGGCAATAAATCCAACTTCCACTCCTTGCTCTCTGTATATAGGTAACTATCTGCCTTGATACTATCCCCCTTCCTCCTCCCTCCCCAATGCTCCAGCATAGTCCCCGTGAGCCTATTTTTTATATAAAATTTTGGCTGCCCCACTCTATCGTCCGCAAGTATGAAACACCAATGCAGGCCCCAGAATTCCTTCTTCTCCCCAATGCCTTCCCATTTCTGGAGTTTTATGCAGGCCGGTGGGTAGTTTATGTCTGTGTGGTGGAGGAAGGCGCCAGATTTGTGGTTGACGAGAAATACCCAGGAGCCGATGGGAGGGGACATGCTGGGTATAGGGGGGATGATGAAGTTCCATTGTTGGTGGTTGACACCGGTTTTTGCACAAAGTTTTACTTTGGTGCCATTTGTAGGCTTGCCCCAGTCGAGGTCGAGGACGATGGAGGGGTTGAGGAGATTGTGGATGGAAAAGCATTCCCTGTAGGTAGATCATCAAATTAGCCCATTGCTGGCTGAAACGAAGTGAAATTAGTGATAGTTATGTGTACTCACGAAGTCGATTGTGACCGTTTCAAGATCCATCTCTGACTTCTAATCCTATCACTAATACTACCCTCCGTCAACTGCATCCCATCCCCTCCATTAACCACACTCCCCAGTACTTCCTCTCTCCTCACAACCTCCATACTACCCCTCATACTACTCCTGACACTACTTCTCCTACTACTCCTCGCACTAGCCATGCTCCTCACTCTCGGTCTCGCACACACTCCCTTCTCCTCTGCTGCTCCACTCATGCCGCCAGCACCATATAAACTCCCCAACATCGTTCCCCTCGACCCAACCACGTCCAACACCACCCCGCGGTTATTCACATTTGAGAATATATACCCTCCATGAATATCGTCCCACTCGACCCACCAGATCTGGTGGCCTAATGCCTCGAGGTCGATACTTTCCTGCTGCCACCCAACAATGTCGCTGTGCTCGCCGATTTCGTATTCGGGGGGGGAAGGAGATGGAGGACGGTGCCGCTTGCTTTGTTGCGGATAAGGTAGGCGCCGGAGAGGATCCGTGCGGAGGGTGGGTGTTCCTCGGCTGGGGCAGAGGGTGGAGATCTGGAGGCAGTGGTTGTGAGGATAGAGGAGGAGGGTTCAATGTGCCTGGGGGGTTAGAGAGTGTTTGACCCATCTCAAATCTGTCCCCGATATCACAATTGGGAAGAAGGAAGGATAGTAGGCCAATGCTCGTATAAATTAAGAAGGATATAGCCGTGCGTGCGTGTTGCCTATACGTAATGCGTCTGCGGTCGTAACAATGCCGTTAAGATATAAGAAGTAGAAAGCCCCGAGCTATTCTCGATCGATTCAGTCACAGTTAATGCCCAGTGCACTCCGGAAGACAGACGAATTAATATAATCAATTGCGAAGAAGGATCAGCAAAGTAGGAGAAGAACCACCACGGACAACTGGGACTCCTATCGCTGCCAGCTTCAGGCAACCTCGTTCGTCGAGGAGAACAGGGAGGTAATTATACCCCACTCCCATCAGCAGAGGCGGGACGATATCCCCCGCTCCCAATCCACCCCCACCCAGGAAGAGCAAGAGTTCGTCAATTCCATCTCTCTCTCTCTCTCTCTCTCTTGCATTTTCTCTTCCCAGCTAGAGTACTACCACAGTAGCAACGCATGAAGCAAGAGAACCTCGCTCCGTCTACTTCTCTCCACACTCATCACCCCATCGATGCTCGTGAACTGCACTGCACAAGTACGTCCCACCCACCTCGCTACATGCCGCAGACCAATTGGCATCTCTCAGCTAATCACCTCCCGCAGCTGATAAACACCCGTACCCAGCTCAAACAGGTAACTACTGCAGACATCTGCAGCAGCTGGCGATTTCATAGGTACGTGTTTTTTTCCCAACCCACCCTCATAATGAGATAGGAGGGAAGTTGGGTAATTCAGTTTGAGCTGCCAGTAGAGTAAGTCAGAGAGACCAAGTAAGGCTTATCCCACCTATACATACAGTAGTAGAGAAGTAAGTAAAGTAGGTAACGGTATAACTAGCAAGTTTCTCCTCAGAACGTCGACATATTGATGGCATTCGGTGGCAAGATTCCTGGTTAGGACGGAAAATGAAGGCACGCCATGCACGCAGGGGTTTTGAGTCAGGGTCGCACCATTTGAGTTGATTGGCAGGCGATGTGTCAAGGGAAGCAAAGCCGTCCATACTTCTTTCACATGTCAACAACGGCGGAAGGGATATTTCAGGTTCGTTCTAATTAATCCGTACGAGACGACAAAAGACGAGTTGCGCAGCTTCGCTAGGTAAGTATCTAACCGGACCGTAGCTATCTGTACATTTCATGCATAGATATTAAAATATTGCGAGAATTACAAACATCTAGAGCAACCAAAGAAAAAATAAAAATTAATGTGTGCAATGTACTCTGTAAAAATATTAGTTTGCAGAGGTTTCCTGAAGCCTAATACCTGCTTTACGCTGACCTGGTTGGACCATCCTAATCTGCTTCCCAATCCCACACCCCCACTACGGTAGACCTCAACCAAACGAAGTGAAAGGAAAAAAAAAAAAAAAGTGTTTATAAATGGTTATTGCAATCAATAAAGGCAGTCGACGCTAGCACCAGTGGCAGCAGGCAATTAGAGTAAAGCAACCTCATGCGATTGCATTTTCCTTCCCCGGAGCCACCACATCACATCACCCACTGCCTGTTATCTATTCAGCAATTGCAAGATGGAACCCCCATTCCTATTCGCTCCCGGCCCACCGCCCCCCGCAGGAACATGTGAGCCCCGCCTCCGCCGCCTTGCCTGGTGATGTTCATGATCAACCTCACCGGCAACGTCAAGTGCAATTGCCATTACGACTAGCGAGAGTGGAAGTGGAAGTGGGATATTGTTGAATAATAATAAAGGTGATGGGGCGAGGGTGATTCGGAGTTGGAACTTGATGGAAGTGAATGCATGCGGGATTGGGAAGAAAGGGATAATCCCTGTGCAGCGTGGTTGTGTTGCTGGCGCTGTTGTTGCCGTGGCAGAGGCAGAGGACATTGTTTTGATCCGTCCAATGTGAATCCTTCGGGTGGAAAAAGAAAACAGAAATAACTAAAAAAACAATAATTTCTGGGTAAAGGCAAGGCAAGTTCTTGTTGGTGATGCCTGCGATTGGTTGTTCCTGTGCCTGAGTGAGAAGTCGCAAGAATTGGAAGAAAGAAAGTCCTTCGCGCTGGACCTGGAGTTAAAATAGAGGAAAATTGATTTCCAGTGTGCACACGCCTACAATTTTTTCGCTTGAATTACCTTAGCAAAAAATCAAATTTCGGGACCCTGAGTGGAGCCAAGGGCAGTCTGGTTGCATGAGCAAAGGGAGCATTGGAATGTAGATAAAAGAGTCTGGGATCGAGAACAGGTGTTGCCGATGGGAATGCAGATATGGCTCGGGAGACTGGCCAGTATTAATTCCACTTGTGCCAAAACCTGCTTGAAAAAAGAGCATCTCTGTCCCAATGGATCGCCCATCAAGTTTTTGGCCCACTTGTAGCAGTCACCTGATCCTTTCATCTACCGTACTGTAAGTGACACCTCCTTATTGGAACGCACTGCAAGGGAGATCTAGCCATTCCAGAACGACAATTTACAACATGAAGCTTTAGAGTACGACACACAGCATCGGTACATAGAACAGATGAGCACCAATGTCTCGCCTGAACGTTTCTTCATAGGGCGACTCGATCACATTACCAGGTACCCCATAGGCCAATCGTGGAAGTAAACAGCTACCCCACACTGCCTTGCTAGTCAACCTGATGAGGTACCGGTATGGGGAACCTACGGATAGGGGTGTCCAATGTGGGCAATTATAGTACCACTTCATGCAGGGTCTCACGTACCGGTACACCAAATAACGGGATCCTCTCAGGTACCTTGAGCAGGCAGTTTTCTTTTTTTCTCCTTCACAAAGTCAGTCCGGTTTAGAAGTGGGGAAAAGCTCATTCGGCTTGTTTATGACGCACAAGCGATCACAAAGGCACCCGATTATCCGAACCGTCCAACAAATGCTGGGGAGTATCACGATGATGATTCAAAGTAGATTCGCATTCTGACCGATTGCTGAAGAAAGAAAAGAAATAAGTTAACAGGTGAAAGCTATTTTGGTAGCCTCTGCAGTTTCCTGAAGCTCATCCGTATCAAATTGATTTTGATCTGCGAGCCTTGAGGGTACAAGGCTTTCCCGAAAGAGTAGCAGTACTCTGAGATAACCCAACCCAGCGTGGGAACCAGTCATTCGTCGGAGCTCTACCGTAGAGGGCGTCTATTTGTTAGCTGAGAAAGATCTGCACTATAAATTATGATGAAAGGAACAAGCCGACTAGAAAAGAAGCATAGCTGATCATTTATATTCCCGCTCAAATGACACTCCGCCCCCCACTGCTCGTTGTCACGTGTCCGGCACGATTGATATAGATTCTAGGAAAAAGTAACAATGAGGCACGAACAAGATTAAGCAGCTTGCCGTGTGCCATGATCCATTGCATCATGCCTATGTGCTATGGACTGGGTTGGAACTGCGGGAGAATTGATGGGCCGGAAAAGGTGAATGATGCTTTTTCTGGGTTGCCGAAGCTAAGGATTATGGATTGTGTTGTTCTGGGATTAGTGAAAAGGTGAAGGTCATATATAAAATTGATAGCAATAGTTTCAGTCGAAATGCCCGGTTGGCTCAGTCGGTAGAGCGTGTGACTCTTAAAGTGCCTCGGCACATAAGATATCTCAAGGTCGCGAGTTCGAGCCTCGCATTGGGCTTTATTTTTATTCTGCTTGCACGTCAACCGTTTTTGCACGTAATCTTGGCGCGGATGCTTTTTTTTTGACGACAGTTCCAACATAGATCGCGCACTTTATTCTTGGGTATACCTGAACCGCTAAAGTTATTGGTACTACACTGACACAGTTAAATCACCAGTTCCTACCAAGTTCACCCCCCTTACGCTCATCACACCATCATGAGCGCCTTCCGCCTTCCTACCCTCCCCCGGCTCATCTTCTCCTCCGCCCCACCCCTCCACCGCACAGTCCACCACTCTCTCCCCCTCCCCCCTGTCCCTCCCGTCACTAACGCCATCCCCAACTCTGCCACCTTCCTCAAACTCATCGGCCGAGGAGCCTTCGTACACGCCACCAAGCTAGCATCCTGGGAGTCGCTATTCAAGAGCACGAGTGCACAGTTGAAAGAGGCGGGGGTGGAGCCAGCGAGGTTGAGGAAGTATATTATTTCGCAGAGGGAGAGGTATAGGGTTGCGGGGGGGAAGATAGAGGTTAAGGAGGTGAAGAGGGGGGTGAAGAAGGATGGAGGGGAGAGAAGGAGGAAGATGATTAGGGCGGTGAGGGGGACGGAGGAGTATAGGGAGAAGAGGAGGCAAGAGGAGAAGGAGGCGGAGGCGGGACTGGCGGTGTAAGGGGGCTGTTGGTAGTAGAAGGGTGGATATTTTTCGACTACGAGAACTCGGATTTCACGTACACACACACCACACGCGTTATCGAGGCTGACTTGATGAAGTACTTTCCTACTGAAGGTTGACTATGGCGAGTAAGGGTTGCGGAATAGGGGAAATGGCTATGTACTGTACATAGAAAATGCATTTATCCCACGGCACCTACGATCACCCTTACAGTGTGGCACAAATAACTGGGGTGGCGATTAGGCTGTGCAGTAAGAAGAAGACCATGAAGACTAAGATGATTGCGAACAGACGGAGAGAAGAGAAGGGCCTATAGATAGCTTGGGAGTTGAGCGTTAATTGAGTGAGTGTGCATGGGGAAGCTGCGCGATACATGTTCTTTCGGTGCTTTTTGCTTTTGGTTTGATTTATGAATGAGGTGTTTGGTGTACTGACAATATCGGTCATCGAGATGATTGATAGATACTATTCTAGCTCGCCTTTTTGGTCACTTTTAGTGAAGCATACTGACGAGTGGGTTGACAGGAACAACAAGGTTCACCAACAGTTTCACGTACTCACTAGATCTCATGGTACTTCGAGTTTTAGAACCATGCCACTATTCAGCCTTGCAGAAACCTACAAATGGACAATGTTCAAGGGGTCTATCTGGTGCTTGACCTCGATATTTGAGGTAGATGGACTCAAAATTGCGGGAATAAATCTCGACTGTATAACGGCTCAGGTCGCAAACAATCGTACTGGTACTGGGGCAAATTCAGAAAGAAGCAACTCTTCTCATGAGGGGGATTGAAGGATGGAGGGATGGATAGTATCTCATTATTGGATAGTATCTCATTATAAAGGACATGGGAGTAACAGGCAATGAGCGCTCTAGTATGGGGGAAAAGCAGGTGAAACCGCATGCTAGCTAGCTAGCTAGAAATACTCATAGCATCAAAAACTGAAGAGCATATTTCAATATGTCAATGAAACATCCTTGATGTGAGTAATCTCTATACCCAAATATTGATCATTAAGAACAGCTATAACTATCTAACCATAGAATAGTGAATATTTTCTGTTTATAAGGTGGCTATTTAATCAATAATTATGAAGTACAGATATGTCTTACCTTGGAACTCAACTTTGAATGAGGACATGGCGTTCCGGCAGTTCAGTGGTGCTGGGGGTTCTAAGGAGATAAGGAAATGAGGCAATAAAGCTCCGATGAACACATCGAATATCAGATGGCGGCAAACTTCCTTCAATATTATCAAGCATCTATCGACAACACGATGCGCAAACAACGCTCATTATCATTACCCCAAATGACTCAGCCACTCCACATCCCTTAATTCCAACCACATGCACTTCAGAATCCGTTCCGCCAACCTCCCATACTTGGCTTCGGGTCTGATCTGCCGTTGTCTGCCCACTTTGCTGGCATCTCGAGTCATGAACGAACAAGGAATGAATATGCAAATCCAGCAGGAATATTTTGTTCTTCTTGGGTGATAGGTTGTGAGTAGCGGCCACGTTTTTCTATATATGATATTCTGAGAAAGGGTTCGATGTTGTAATCGGAGCATGGTTAGTTACCGCATCGACAACTACGACGGTATATCACTTGCAGCCTGAATCAGTTGGTGATTATAGAAACGATATCTTAGGTTTAATTATGATGCTCCCCAGCTTACCTAGGCTGTGCAGAGCTTCTCCAGACAGGTGGTCTATTTGGGCTATCCTATATCACTTCTTGGAAGGCATGAGACACACACAAAGAGAATGAATATGGCAAAAGTACTTGAGGATGGGAATGGGGAAAAGGCCACTAAGATGAGTTATAGTTGAATTGAAAGTTTGAGGGGGGTGGTCATACAGTCAGGTGGCAAAAAAACTTATACCCTGTGTAAAGCTGGAATCTATATCTTGCTCGTGCATCCATATAAAATTCTCCAATATGCGGTGTTTGGGCATCTCTATGCAAGGGGCGGATACGAAATATTTTGCCACTAAGCTGTATAGAGCTAGTTAGATCTAAAATATGTAGTAGTTAAGATTATTGCGATATCAAAATGCAGCCCGGTTGGCTCAGTCGGTAGAGCGTGTGACTCTTATATGCCTTGGCACCTTAAGGAATCTCAAGGTCGCGAGTTCGAGCCTCGCATCGGGCTTAACATTTTTTTGACTTCCAACTGCGGATTGGCTATAATATTGAAATTGTGTTCCTCACTAGATAGGTACCATTTGTTGCATACAGTAGACACTGTTTTGTAACTTTTTTTTTTTTTAATTAGGTCTATACTCGTATTCGACACAAGATTTCCTTGGCTTTTTGTATTTGGCAGTTTGGTGGACTGTTTTTTGGTGACTGGAGGTATCACTGGGGTCTCGTCCTTTAACACAACCTCCAATTCCAATTCCGAATCGTAATCAGATAGGCCCTCATAAAGAGAGAACATTCCCTCAACAAGCATTTCCATATCCTCCTGAATCTTGTTTTGGGTAGCGGTGTGTCACCTGCCGACATGATATTCTGGACCCTCTCTGTTCATTTCCCCTTCCTTTCACTCCTCTCCTTCAATTCTTCTTTCTCTTTCAAACCCTCCATTCTTGCTATATTTGCCATTTCCAGAATTGGCTCTGTTGCAGAATCTTTCACTTCCTTGGAGACCTGCACTCCTGTATTTACCAACTCGATCTTTGTACTAGATGACTGCTCAGCATGACGCTATCAACTCCCTTACCGGCCCCTATCTCCTTTGCATTTCATGACTCCCTCAACGCTGTCTTTTATTTCTTCTTCCCTCAACCTTAATCCACTGGCCTCCATGTCGAACATCCAGTGAAATTGGCTAAAAATAAATCGATTTTTTTTTTTTAGCTTCGTCTCATTGTTGGCATTTTCCCTGTTTTCTCATGCTTTCTCCATTCCTCCAGCTTCAGAAACATCCATACATTACCTTTTACTATGCGTAGACTTTCTGTTGGTAGGATTTTGCTTTTCCCCAACTTCTCAATCCTCTCCTCCAAGTTATCAACCTTCTCCTTTAGGTCTTCCTGCTCTTCATTGCAGAACTGAAGCCTATCGGAAATTAAAGCTAAGTTTGAATGCTCCTCACAATCTTCTGTTCCCAAAATCCCTTCAATTACCATCTGTGCCTCTACCTTGTTGGTGCAATCTAGCATCGGTGCAGCGTGCTGTAATAGTCTCTCTTGCCTCTTTGATTTCCTCTTTATCCTAAAACTCCTCCTCATCCGAAATTGAAAACCCCGATGGGTTTTCCCTTCGCAACCCATGGGCCTATATCTAGTTCAACATCTGTCCCCCAACCACCATACTCATCATCCTCATCATCCTCATCCCGCGAGCCCTCCTTTATCATCTCTAACTTTTTGCATACCATCCATGAGGGAACTTAGCCCCTCTAAAGACATTGGGGCCTTTTTTTTTTGACACTGCTGGGGTGCCAGCTGGTGTCAGTAATTGTGTCGGCTCTGGTATCCTCTGTGTCGGTGAAGCAATGTCTAGGTTCGGTGTGATTTGGATCTGGCGTCTGCCTTTGCCTCCAAGCCAGACTACTTTTCAATCTGCCTTTGTTCTTACTCGACCGTGGCATTATGGCAACCGTTATTTGATTCGCAGCTGAATTGGTTGCTATGCGCCGTCTGTAATTCCGTTCTTGCCTCGTAAAAATTTGGATCGCTACTATTCCGTCTTCAAGGGCTATAAAATCCTGTAATTGCCGAAGTCGGAAACCCTCTGGTCGTCGAGTTCGACCAAGTGGGCTCGTCCTGCACTGTTGTCGGTACTGTTTTGTGAGTAGTCTTGGTGGTTTCCTTTGCTATTTAATACCTATGTACTCATATATACACTAGGGGTATTCAAACCTGATTTTTTAATTCAAAGAAATCGGTCAGAATGTCGTTTATTTAAAAACCGTTCAGATCGGTTTGAACGGTCTGGGCGCCTTAAAAAGTTAACGAGAATTCCTCGTTAAAGTCGTTAGAAATGGCGTTTAAACGACCGTTTAGGGGTGCTTTTAAACGATGCTCGTTATGACGCAAGTTGCCCCGGGTGACGCCAAGTGGGGGTGGGGTGGGTGACGCTCAGGTGATGTGACAATCATGTGTTGTCATGTGATGTCGGGTAGTATCACTTACTGCGTAACGATCGACAACCACGTGACGATCGACACGGGCTCCCCTGCCACATGCAGTAACATTCTAATATCTCCATCAATATATCCAATATCAATGTAGTAAGAACAATGAATATAGGATAAAAACACTCGAAAAACCCAAATTTAACATCTCCAACCCACTCCGATCTACCCTGAACCTTCTATAGCACCTAAACCCTCCGTATGACCACCCCTCTAGCATAACCACCTACTCCACACCCCCCATGCCGCCCACAACAATCACTCTAGCAGCCATAGGTTCCCCAGAGGTCCACTCTGTAAGCCATATTAGTATAGACTCAAGCTGCTCACTGTATATAGAACTAGACGCACTGTAAACTGTATTCTCTATATAACCTATATAACTTTTGCAAGCTAGTATCGTTCTGCCACAAGCCATAGTCATAGTCAACGTGCGCTCCCTAGAGTCACATAGTCATAGTCCTACGTCCGCACTCTTGCCGTTACAATAAGCCGGTAAAGCACAGGGTTCGAAGGTTTGCACTAGTCTTATGCCAAGACCCTCCCGCCAAGGGTGTTCTTCGAACGCAGAGAGTGGTGCAGCTCTGCTTACCTCACATCAACCCACGTGCGCGTCAGCTGACCGCCAAGATGACGCGAGACAGCATTTAAAATTGCCGAAAAACGCCCGTTTAAACGACACTAAAACGCCCCAGTTTAAACGGTCGAAAATGGGGTATTCAAACCTGAAATTATTCTGACCGATCAGAAAGTCGTTTAGGTTTTTGAATTAAAAAATCAGGTTTGAATACCCCTACTAGCTGATATTCATAGGAAGACCGTTCTCCTTACCTTATGATAGTTTTTTTTGTTCACATAGGAAAATTTAATTTGAAACCGGCGGCGGGTCTCGATCCAGCTTGGGGGAAAACAATTAATACGAAAAGATTTGAAATATTTGGGCGTTAATGTCCAAAAACCGGTGCCAATATCAATTTAATACTTCCCAAAGTCGATATAAACCAAACTTGGGTTATATCCTTGGTACTCTATGTCTTATAGCTTACGTGCTTGGTGCTGAATTGAGAATGATAGAAATATAGACCTTGTGTCTATAAGCCCTCTCTCTAACAAATAGACTGCTTCAAAGCCTCTAATCTACTCGTTTGCAAACTTCCCAGATTGATTACCATCGCAGATACGTACCACCTATCCTGTTCTCGGCGCACCCACATTCTCTATCATCCCATCTCTCCACGGATGGCTTCATAATCATGAGAACGACCCAAAGGCTCCCACTTAAATGCATGCTACGACTTGCCAGCACGAAATCAATGGCATGGGGCCCTTCCACCTGTGTAAAAAGCCATTGAGATACTAATTCTCATTACATCTTCAATGAATCTAAATACAGACCCACATGAGACATGCAAACAAGCAACTAAATCGATCAACAGAGACCAACGGGTGTAGGCCGCAGTCCCAGCCATGGTTCAGCTGCTTTGAAGTTCACATGGGTAGATTCGGGTTGCGGACAGATCAATATTGCTAGATACATTCAAGAAAGTTGAGGTTAACAACTTGCATAATCAATAACTAGTGCTATATTCTCGAATTCAATGACTAATAAGGGTACACTAGTTCAGTCCTGGGAATTTTAGCTTTCAAATGACAGGGATAGGCAGCTAATGCTCGACAGCTCAGATACCCGGGAAAACTGGTGAATAAGACTCCTTGTCTGTATCTTTGCTCTTTCCTTTTTGTGGTACAGGTGCGTTACTAGTTGTTGGCAGATTAGCGTCCTTGACTCGAATTTTGACTTATTCTAGAGTTATGATTCAGATACAGACAAGGAGTCTTATTCACCAGTTTTCCCGGGTACTTCCTCAGCTAATAATAGGTACGCCTCTGGTTTGGTATCAGTAGCGTTTATGGATGCCTCCGGACACTAGTCTCAATCACCGGAGCCCCACCGCAATGAAGCAAAGCGGATGACAATTTCCTGATTTAGTACAATGCAGCCTGTTATGGTCCAATTGGCAAGATCCCCCCCGCAATGCAGCAACTATTGCGCCAAGAGTATACTCTGGTGTAGACTGTTGGGGTTAGCCTGGTCCCTGGAACCCGCTGGAGCCTAGGCTAGAAGCGCAACCGAAGGACTTCCGGCAAACTGTGTCCTCGACATCATTAACAACGTCGACGTGATCCTACTCCCAGCTAAACGCATAGGCAACTTCTCCCAATTCGAAAATTCTCGGCTGTGTACAAACTTGGAACATGGTATGGTGCAAGTTATGATCGGAGAACGTAGAGTGGTTGCTTTTTGGATATTGTCTCGAAGGTTAAGGCTTTTCTTGCGATGCAGTTGATACCCGTCGCTTCATCCCCCCTCCGCTGGTTGGCTGCCTCGTGCCACATGACTTCGACGTCTCCCTATATCGACATAGGTGACTCTCCCTCTTCACTAACGGAAGACTGGCCAACTGCACTCTGGAGCCACGGCCTTCGCAAAACCTACTTCTTTCGATTTCACCCTCTGCTGATCGCAGTAGATAGTCCCAATCTAACAAAAGCCTGGAAGAGGATATCTTCAGTAACGACAGGAGCAAACAACATGAATTTAGGTTGAGAAATGGGATTGTGCGGGAGCCAGATCCCCACGTGTTTTACGACGTGCAAACTGACCATGAGCCACATTCCCAGCCCTTACGAACGTTGCTTTTGTCATTGAAGCCAGGATCGATAGAAGTGGGAAATGCGGGCAAGGGTAATAGAGCTGCTGGTATCCAGAACGCTCCACTTTCTTGATTTTCAAAAAAAAAAGAATTGTATCAACATATCCGCATATGGATAGGTTCATGCTGCATTCCGGAGAACCCACCAATGTATGGCAGCAACAAAGTCATATCATTTTGCACTGGGGCCCAGACAGATGAAGCGCCGCGTGGATTCCAGAAGGAAGTGTCTTCGATTTGTAGGTACGTACTATGTATTTCTTCGGAAGATAAAGTTGTGTTGAGGCTCATCTC